TATATTATTTTTATGAGTAAGCCTTAATGCAACAACACACAAAAATCGTCGATTGCACAAAAGGGGTTCTTTATAGATTTTCAAAGAATACTTCAATTGATTTACTATTTGTCTAAATGTGAGTTCTTCCTTTACACACAATTCATTTTTATCTTCATTCCTATTTTTTTTTATTTATCGTAGGCGCATTCTGTTCAATAGACGTCCCATAAGAAGATTTATTACAGAAGCGTCATACTATTGACACACGAGAGGACTCAAGGCCGGTAGAAGATAGAATGAAAAAAGAGAAATTAATGTCTATCTAAATGGAGACTTGTGTACCTGTTCTGTTCACATTATGAATCTTTTCTTCGTTATGTTTAAAAATAGAAAACAAACTATTTTTCATCGAATGTGTGTTCGTTTGGGATTTCCTACACTTATCATAAATCTTGTGTTGCTTAGAAAATCCTTGAGGATTGAAGGATATTACAGAAAAAGTTTTTGTTGTGGCGCTAATGCTGAACGCTAGTTGGAACTTCTTGATTATTAAACGGATTTTAGAGATTTGAAAATTTAACGGTTACTTGAGATTTGAAATTTTAAGGTTCAAATTTTGAACTTCTGTTTTAAATATTCAAATATTTTTGATAACGACTTCAAAGGCATAGTTATATTAAGGACAATCTTTCACCTCCTAGAAACTTCTAGAAGTCAAGAGAGTTTCCATTAAGTTCACAAAATAAAGCAGAAAAAATCCAAACAGATCAAACCCAATAAATTAGCAAGCAATACCTTAAATCGGCCAACGCTCTTGAAAAATCTCACAAGTTCTTATACATTTTTTTTGTGTGGGGATTATACACTTGAAATTTATTTCCAAAGTGTAAAAGCAGACATCCGAGAAAAATTCTCTTTACATGTGTAGCTTACTACTAAGTTAAAGCCTCTTTCTGCTACATTTGTTGTTTATAATTAAAACAGAAGAAGAAAAATTATAAATTTATTCGAAGAAATGTAAAAAAAGAGAGAAGGAAAAAAAAGATATTGATGAAGAAATGAATGATCATGGATGTTGACTAAAAATAGCACAGCCAAAATTTACATACGCTACAAGTCGTACAATATTTTTGTTGTGACTTACGCCCACATGGACTCTCGTAGGAAAAAAAATAAAAAATCGTGAAGGTAATTTGCGATCATGTCCGCGCGCGCTATACAGCACTTTTATTTAGATCTAGATGATTGAAGATCACATAGCTAAGTTTAAAAGCGTCATCAAACAAATCAGCATTACTTAATTAAACTGGAGAAGAGAAAAATACAAAAATTCGTGCCAGAAGTTCATCAATTTTAGACACTTGAATCACGCTTTCTGCCTTTAACAAATCGTAAATTGTTTTTCGTGACACATGGAACGGCTCTTGAGATTTTCTTGTATTATAATGTGTAGGAAAGTCATTAATATAATTTTAAGAAAGCTTTTGGGTTGTTTGTAAATGATGCTTAAGTTTTAGAGGGTTTTAGAGGGTCTGGAGATGCAATTTGGTTCATTTTTGTGAAAACAGTTACAAAAATATTTGAATTTTAGAAGAAATATTCTTTAAGTTCAAAATTTGAATACCAAAATTCGGTTAAAATTTGAATACCAAAATTCGGTTAAAATTTGAATACCAAAATTCGGTTAAAATTTGAATTAAAAAAGTCGGTTAAAGATTTCTACTCCAAAATTTAAAGATGACACAATTTATGAACTCATCCCATAGTAAATGCAGATGTCGTAGATAAGCTCAATGTCTATGAAGGATGAATGAAGCATATTTGTCAACTAGACAGGTTCGTTTTGTTCTCAAGGTTTTTGACACATTTTTACATGAAAATTGAAGAAGAAAATGCCAAAAAATTTAATTTTAATGTTAATGAAACAGCAAAACAACAAAACGTCTGTAGACGAAAGGAGAGAGGAATTAATGACATCACATTCTTAAAATAACTTGCACATATGAAAATATGAAGAAGATGAAATAAGCTGAGTTTTGTTTTGCTCATCAAAAAATCTTCTATTAAGTTTGCTGATTTTATTTTGTATTGCTGTTGCCTCTCACCACTTTAAAAAAATTAATAAGAGACAACACCGCCTTCGATGTATATCTTGAATGTATCTAAATGTATTGGCAACTGGTTCTTAATATAAAAGAAAAATCACTTCTTTTTCTTCGTCATCATACTGTTAAATCAAGCATCTTGAAAAACATCTTCTAATTCGTTCTACAACAAGCAGCATCTCGCAAATATTGTTGCTTTTACGAGTTTCAAGAATTTGTTTACTGTTTCTATAATGAAGCTATGTGAGTATGATAAGTTACTGTAAGCAATGAAATCTTTTTAAGGCAACGATGACGTCAAGTGGAATTAAAGTATAACAACAGAAAACGATTTTAAATTTAACGGATTTTTAAGATTTGAATTTTTAAGGTTTTCAGTTCAGATTTTGAACCAAGGGTGTGGAACTGAAGAATTACATTTTGATCATTTTTGATCTTTTTTGATCAATTTTGATCATTTTTGATAATTTTTTTGATCATTTTTGGTCATTTTTTGATCATTTTTGATCATTTCATCAGTATTACACCCTTGTTTTGAACTTTAGAATTTTTTTAAATTCAAAAAGTACGTTAAATAGCAACAATTTCCAAAACCTGCAAATTTGCACGTTTTTCACAAGATTAATGACTTAATTTACATCCAACCTGGACAAACAGCGATCATACAGCAAATTTACTTTAGAAATTAATACTCGATAGAAATCATCATGTGAGACTCACGACACTATTAATTCAATTTATGACTCCAAGTGCGAAATATTATGGAATCAAATTATCACGCTATCAAGTTCTCCTTCTTCTATGAGAATAGCCTACAACAAAAGAGACATTTAGATTAACTTAATAATACCCTAGACAACTGTGTAATTTTCCATTTTGTCAACCACGCGACCATCTGTAGTCTAGCACAGCTAGAAAGTGCATTCAATTGGAAAATTCGCGGTCTGACCATCATTTTTTTCTTTTATTGCTACCGCGTGTTGCCTAATAAAAGTTATTGTTCCAAAAATATATTTTCAAGCATAAGAATAAATAGATAGCGCCGAAAAAAAAGAGAGTCAGGCTGGACAGCAGTCGTTAAATTAATTGGATTTTTATTTTTACGACTTCGACCATGAAATTAGCTATCGTTAGAGAAGAACACATCATGCCGGAATTATTGAAATATTGTGCGTGCTATTATTGTCTCAACAGACTTTGTGGACAATACTGAAGTGGATTCACCCTCATAAATTGCGAACACAGACTTTAAATTGAGCTATTCTTGACTATTCAAATTTTTGTGCTCTATTGTGTCATTGTTGGGTAAATAGATACTTCCTCAATGTTGCCATTGTCTACTGGCTATGACTTAATTATGTCTCGCACTCAATACAAAATCTATTGGCGATTAATTTAGATGTTACGGATGCTTAAGCACATCCTCTCTATTATTGACGGATGCTCAAAAATGGACTTCATGCTGCGATTTTCGAGACGTGCCATTTATTATAAAATAAACATCAATTAATTTCAGAAAATATTTCACTGTACATTGACATATGTCATGTATGTACGCAACTATTGCCTTAAAATATTTCATTTTTCTTCCTTCTTAAGACTTATGTTAGATACAAGATAATTCTGCAACAGGTTCATTATTTATGAGGCAATCATTTCTGTACAGCAATAAAGTTGAAAAAAAAATCCCAAGCTTTAGAAATTCTAAGGCATGCGATCGCTGTGTGGTTATATTTTGTAATGCGACTCTTTTAGCATAAATTGGATATAAAATTGCAGAGATCGAAGCCGATTTTTTCGGCTTAACTCAATTTTTGATTTTTTTGATAGAAAAAAGCCATTTGACACCCATTTCAAGTATTTAAATTGAACTTTACATGCTTTACTATGATTCTGTGTAATATTTTGTCAGCATGTAGCTATAGGAAGCTCAGAATTTCAAGTTAAAGAAAAAATCGGCTTCGATCTCTGTAAAATTGTCATTCAGATTGGAAATTCAAATTTTAAAATTTAACGCTTTAGCAAAATTTGAAATTAAAGCGAGTTCAAAATTTGAACTTAAAATTTTGAATTTTCGAAAGACGTTAAAATTTGAATATTTTAGATCCGTTAATATTTAAAGTTTTTAAAGTCGTTAAAATTTGAGTATTTAAAAACCGTTAAACTAAGAAAAGAGAATTAGAAGATTGCAAAATTAAATAAGCAGTCATAAGCAGCATAGCAACAGTCCGCAATTAAGACAATTGCTCCTCGTCCGACAACGAATAGAAGAAGACAAGAAATACCTGCTTTTTATTGACTACCCATTTCAGACACCTTCTGCATGCCTTCACATACAATTCCCAAACTAAGATAAATCCTACAATCAGACTTATCAGTTAGTATAGGAAGAAAAATTGCATTTCAAGCTCTCAATTCTTTCCAAGTTCCTTCATTCTCTCTCAATTTTATGATGTTGTTGTTGTGTGCATATATACTTGCCGTTCGTTCCTGAATATGTGAAATGAAGCAAGACAAGCAAAAAACTAATGTTGGAGTTGTGTAGGAGAAAAAATAATTGTTGCTTAGCTTTGCTGAAGTTCAGCCTGTCTAGATATTAATCTTGTCGTAGAATTAATCATGAATCAATAAAAATGAGAACAAAATTGTGTAATTTGTCCTTGACACATTCGAATACGCGCTACGGAATGACGCAATTTTTAAATTTCGCCTACGATCTTTTTTCATTTTACAGTCAAGCAGCAAAATTCACTCCGAACGAGATGATGAAAGCAAGAGCAAGAGAGAAACTCACACATGTGACTAAGTTATTTTTAAAAATAAGATTATGAATTTCTTTTCCGATCTACTCATTTGAAAAATTAGTTCATGGAAGTAAAGGCTGTGGATAATTAAGATCACTAGAGTACATACCTTCAGTTTTAGACAATTTAAGCATAACGCCACCAATGTGCAAATCTCCTTTGACACGCAGTGTCTTTTCAACTTGCAAATCCGTGATCAGCACACGTAAATTCCAAGTGTTATCGCCAACGTGAATCATATTGATAAAATTAGATTATTTTCACTGATTTAAAATTTGATATATTTTTTTTTCGGGCACTAGTTGCGTGTTGATATAGAAAATTTCACTTCCTTTCTCTCAAACGTTATTTTTTATAAAAATATGTAAATAAACAACAAGCACTGATCTTTAAATCATAAATTTCTTTTCTATCTGTGTGCAAAAATTTTAAACTTTTTTTACAATAACACATAAAATATTTTTTTTTCTTGACTTCTTTTATCGATAATCAAGCAGCTCTCGTCGATAAATATTTTTTTTTCTTCTTGATAAAAAATAATTCCACTTATTTTTTTAAGACGATCGGCACCGAGAAAAATAATAATTCATGTCTTGATGTAACCGTTGTTCAAACTCAACTGACTTGTGTATGTGAAGATATTCAGCATGTCAATCTCACTCTCTTAACATTATGACTTTTTTGAGAGAGTATCGAGTTCAACGTAATTGATGAATTTGAAAGGCATGCAAAAATTCCGAGGGAATTTGAATTTCAAAAAGACGTTAATTTTATTGCTAATATTTTTGTATTTTTAAAAATCCGTTAAAATTGAAGCAAAATTTTCAATTTCCAAAAATTCATTAAAATCAGCATAAATTTCAAATCCCCAAAAACCGTTGAACTTAAGGGGCTGTTCACTTATTACGTAACGCGAAAAAATGACTTCTTAGACCCCCCCCCCCTCGTAACAAAATTTGTATGAAAAAAAAAATTCCTTGTTTGAACCGTAACAAAATCTTAGACCCCCCCCTCCCCTAAAAGCGTTACGTAATAAGTGAATGGCCCCTAATGAAAAATTTCAATCCGTTAATCTCAACATAAATTTCAAATTCCAAAAATCGGTTAAAATATTTAAGTTTCTTTAGTTGTAAATTAGCAAAAAAATTTATTATCATTCTTATGCGAACCTAAATATGATTAATTAATTACTTTCTCATACATAATTATTTTTATTTTTTTGATCATTTTAACAGCAATGTCCATCAGACTTATGATGAGTGTGATTATGATGCTTGATTGCGTATGAATTTTCATTAGCCACAAAGTTATCTGACTTGTTGATCTTCCTCGCCAATTCCGATAAATCACGTCTCATTGAGTATGCATCTTCGCCATCCGCATAATATTTTGGTTCAATTTCGAGAATTTTAAATCCGAGTGAGTTCGTGTAAAGATTGAGTGCAGCACGATTACTTTTGCGGACATGAAGGCTGACATATTGTGCATCAAAGCACTCAACCATTGCCGCTGACGCTTGATTCATTAACTTCTGAGCTAATCCCAGTCTTCTGAAGGGCCTTTTTACAGCTAATGAAGTAATGTGACCGTGCTTGCTCTCCTCACCTGGCTCAGGCTGCATAAAATATTGCAATAAGTTTAGATTTTCATTATTTCACAACAAGATATTACCTCTTCCATTTTAGCTAGCACGTATCCTACAATATTGCCTTTATCATCCTCAGCAACGTAAGATAATTGAGGCCTATAAGAATAGCATATTAATTAGACATGTCAGACACATGTTGAATAGCAAGCAGATCTAACCATGTTAATCCATGATAGAAGTAGTATTTCATTTGATAATTTTCAGGCAGACAGAGTAGATTGCAATGCTGCATGTTCATTAAATCTTGTGGTTTTGCGCATCTGATATTCATAATGAATTTTTTTTGTTTATTATATTTAGAGGATAATGACACTTGAAGCACTTGATGAGTTAGTCGCGACGAATTTTCTTAGACTTGACCTTTGTTTCAGTACTGCTGTTGGTGCTTTTTTCAGGCGTATCGTTTAACTGCCCTAATAATTCACGTACAACTTTAAATCGTAGCAGGAAAAATTTGTAGACTAAGAACCAGCCTGAAAAGAAAGAAGGAACAGACAAAAGAATGTGTGATCGTGTCATATAAAAGATTTCAATAATAAATTGATAGATTTTACCAAGAAAACAGACTAAAATGACAATGAATATAGATGATAGGAGAGAAAATGCAGCTTTGATACCGTCGACTAAATTCATTTCATGATTTTTCTAGCGACTAAACTCTAATCTAATAAATAATAATAAAAATTTGAAAAATCTGTGGTTCTGTCTAAAAGAAAAATAAAACTGACTAGCTTATTAACCCGTCTTATGTCACATGAGTTCCTCTATATCGAGCTTTTATGCTGCTTGAGTCTCGATTTATTGACTGGATGTTGTTTAAATGAAAAATTAATAAAACACATTTATGGAACTGTATGAGCAGGTAGAAATGATATTTTAATTAGTTGAATTCACCAAAATTTTATTTTGCATCTGATCTTTTATGATTTATGCTCATTTTTATGTTTTGAAATTTTTGAAGGGTTAGAATCGAATTTTCACGAAAACCGCTTAAATTAGCATGAATATTCACTTGACTTCACTATAATTCTATAGATATCATCATATTAATCACTATAAACTTACTCACCAATTTATAGGATGTCCAATGACTGAGTAATTTGATTTTATGCAAAAATTTCGCTATTTTATCGTTGTTTTCTATTAACGAGTTTTCAAAATGTAAATTTTCCTAATGTTTTGTCTGACTGTCTATCTGTTGGCTAGATCTTTTTGATGCTGGTCACTTCTTTCAAAGATCTAGTTAAAAAACTCTTCCAGCAATGACTTACTTTACGTAAAAATACGCACGTTGCATTTCATAATTTTCAAATATTTTAAAACCGTTATTTTTTGAATAATGTTGTTATTTGTCAATTATAGATTTTCTCAAATTTATGTATTAATACATATTCTATACAAGCTATAATGCGCTTCCATCAATCACGAGCCATTACTTTTCTGACTCCAGTGCGTTTAGAAATCAACTTAATGTTTACAATATCCAAAAAATCTTTAATTGCACTTTAAAATGGTAATTACACTGGGATTTGAAGGAAGTGCCAATAAAATTGGTGTAGGAATCATCAGAGATGGCAAAGTACTTGCTAATGTTAGAAAAACGTATGTAACTCCACCGGGATTTGGATTTTTACCAAAAGGTGACTTATACCTTACTCATCAACCATATTAAGTCACAGTTTCTTATCTGACCACAATTAAATATTCTAGAAACGGCCGAACATCACCGAGAGAAGATTCTAGGGATATTAAAGGAAGCACTTGAAGTTTCAAAAGTTGAGATCAAAGACATTGATGTAATATGCTATACAAAAGGTCCAGGAATGGCACCGCCTTTATTGACAGTAGCTATAGCAGCTAGAACAATAGCTCAAGTATGGAATAAACCAATTTTGGGAGTCAATCATTGTATAGGACATATTGAAATGGGAAGGCTGATTACCAAAGCTAAGAATCCAACAGTTCTGTATGTCAGTGGTGGCAATACACAAGTTATAGCTTATTCAAACAGAAAGTATAGAATATTTGGTGAAACTATTGACATTGCTGTTGGAAACTGCCTTGATCGCTTTGCAAGAATCATTAAAATTTCAAATGATCCAAGTCCAGGCTATAACATCGAGCAGCTTGCTAAAAAAGGCACAAAGTACTATCCACTGCCATATTCTGTTAAAGGAATGGATATAAGCTTCTCAGGTATTTTATCAGAGATTGAAAAGAAAGCCTTACCACATAAAGCCAATAAGAATAGAAAGAAGAAAGTTGAGGACGAAGAACTGCCATCACATGAAGATTTATGCTTTTCATTACAAGAAACAATATTTGCTATGCTAGTGGAAATAACAGAACGAGCAATGGCACATTGTGGATCACATGAAGTCTTAATTGTTGGCGGTGTTGGATGTAACGAAAGACTGCAAGAAATGATGGGAATCATGTGTAAAGAACGAAATGCAAAGTTATTTGCTACAGACGAAAGATTCTGCATTGACAATGGAATAATGATTGCTCATGCTGGCTGGGAAATGTTCACAACTGGAACTAGAATGAAATGGGACGAAGCAACAATCACACAAAGATACAGAACTGATGATGTAGAAGTAACATGGGATGTAGCTAGTGATGAATAAAAAGAACTAAGTTTTTTAATTCAATTTTATTTGATTTTCGAGTGGTTAACAACTTTAAAATTAATGATGAATATAAATACGCAATGATTCAACATTGATGTCTTTTTTTTAATCCCTTAATTCCTTTGATCTTTGATAAGTACAGCATTTATTAATTTGGTATTATGCCTTATTATGGTTTTAGTGTCTAAAAAAATATATTTATATAAAAAGTTCACGTCTTTGGTATTTCACAATTTCTCAATGTAAGTCAAGTTTTAAGCAATTTCTGACAAAGCATGCTCCTTCTCCTCAAACACGCTCTTTGCGTACGTTATCTAAAATTTGAAAAATAAATTCACCATAAAGTATTTGTATCAAAACATTCGATTTGAGGATCAAAAACATTGGATTTAAGGACCAAAACATTGGATTTAAGTACGAAAGCATTAGATTTAACTCAATGTTTTAATTCAATGCTTCGTATCCATAAAACATCGTACTTACATGACGAACAGCCTTTTTAGCAATCTCCTCACTTTGACATCTTACTCGAGGTCTTTTAACCATTTCAGGAGCACTTGGTGTCAGTGATGTTTTTGATGGAAGCGATAGACATAGCTCAATATAATGTGAATTTGATTTTTTAGAGTTTGAGGAACTGCCTCCTTCAAATGGAACCTCAATATGACGACATGTTATTAATTCGGATAAATTATAGCAAAATATCACCATCGGAATGTCATCAGACTTTGAAAATACCCAAATATTTTCAGTGCTTACTAATAATCTCAGTTTTGATTCTTTTGATTCCAATAAACATGGTTCGTATGCTAATAGCTTCTCGTTATAATCTCTTTTGTTAATCATTAATAAATGTTGTTGGCCTTTACTGGCGAGAGATGTGTATGCTGGAAGTAAACCTCCTGCTGATCCAGTCACACATCTTGGTGGACGCTTTCGATCTGGTAATATTCGATTTGAACTTCTACTTGTCTCGCGAACTGCGTTTGCTGTGAACAAAAAATAATCATATTTTAAAGGATTTTTCAAGTTTGAAAAATATCGAACTTTTTACCAGTTTCACTAGCAAGATCCAAAACACCGATTACAGGCTTAGTTACAGTTCCAACAATTCCTTTTCCAAGACCAGACAAAAAACCTGGAATTCCATCAGCTTGTGCGCCTGAATAAGTATGTTTAACAATTGATGTAACACCTCCAAGAAGTCCAAAACCAAAACCTTTCAATCCAGCAACTAAATGATCACCAGTTGAATTTCCACCGCTTGTTGTGCTTACTTCTAAAATTCTTTGTCTTGTTTCTGTATATTGTTCATCTAGAACTACACGCCCAAGACCATCACTGAGAGTTTCTGTTAATTTAGCTGTAGAATTACTGATTCCATGAGTGACATTTTTGACTAGAGATTTTACATTTCCTTCCTTTAATAAACTGCTTACTCCTTCAGTTAAATCATTTGCAAAACCAAGTGGATTTCCTAGAAAATCAACTGAGCCAAGAATCGAAGCTGCTTGCCATTTTAATTCCTGCTTATAATGTGACTTAATTGCAGCCCAATAAACTTCCGATGTCTCAAAATGATGACGATCACAGAACTTGTCAAAATTAATTACAGCATCCTCAAATTTAATCAGCGTCAGTCCAAGACCTTTCTTAATCTCATTTAAATTTATTGGTAACTTTGAGGCTGTTATTACACTCAATCTAATTTGACTTGGAACTAGCGATAAATCACCAAAATAATATCTTTTGGCATTTGCTGACAATACTTTCGTTACAATCCTTTGTGCTTCATAATCTGATTCATCTTGAAGTGCTGCTGGATCTTGAGTCGTTTTGCCAATTCCAATAAAGTCAGCTAAGCGAAGAAGCAGTCTTTCTTCAAGGTACACAGTCAGTGGGCGAAGACTTAATATCAAATGCTGTTGAAGAAATAACGAATTATTAAAATTCAAATTTTAACGGACTTTATAAGTTTAAAAAAGTTTTGAACTTTGTTTCAAAAATACGTTAAAAACTCACCTCAAAAATAACAGCATTTTTATTCGGACTTGACAGAATTTTCATATTAAACTGCAATGCTGGCAACTTATCCTCAACAAGTGTATCCGATGAATTCTTAATTGTGTACATGAAAATTGGACATGAAGTTTCGAGCATTTGATTATCAATCTGAACATCACGTACGCTTAAATCTAGTGATTTAATAACAGGTGTATTAATGATTTCAGTCTGTATATCCTCAAATGAAACATAAGCAAGTTCCTCGTATGGTCTTTTAGAAACTAATGAGAATCCAATTCCTTTTGTTAAGTTCAAGTTTATGTGATATTCATCAATTGACTTGTTGACATTCGTTTCCTCGTTATGTTCAGGATGATAAGAATTTGGAAGGATATGAGAGACATGACGCCAATGAGGATCAACAGCAAGTGTCAAATCATTCTTAAACTTAACATCCTTAATTTGTAATGTCTTTATTGGACCGTCCATTCTGAAATTAATTGAAAGATATCCAGAACCAGGTCGCATTTTTTGTCTTTCAATTGCTTGCTCAAATGGAACTCCATAGCTGTTAATAATCTTTGTATCACGAACAATCAATGCTAATACTGCATCTGTTCCATTTCTCAGTCCAAAGAATCCATTTCTAGGCTGAACACATAAATTTGTATGCTCACACATTAATCTTCCTTCTTCTGTAAAGTACCAAGTTTGTGTAGATCTTCTCTGATAATTTGCTGGACGTACAACAAGCTGATTAGGTTGCAGTGGTTGCGGAGGCTTTTCAAGATCTAGTACAAATCTCTGTGAAGCTTTTCCAGGCTCTGTTGGAGGCGACGAACCTTCATGTTCCAATTGTTTCTCATTATTCATTCTCCACAATTGTGATCGATCTCCAGGCTGCTTTTTAACTAGCACAACTCGATTTCCGATAACGCCAAGAACTAGTTGTTGTGCCTTAATGTCATATTCATCATCATAATTAGCACTAAAGTTTGATACATTCTCAAATGTGTGAGTAAATGCGATGTAAATGAAATTTTGGTAAGTTAATCGAGGTTGTGCATCATTTTGTCTATAAAGTGGACATTTTGCTGTATCTCCATCGGGTGCTTCCAAGCAAATTGACTGTGCACCATTAATTTCATCAAGTACATAAGCCATCGATGAATGTGGCTTAACAGAAGTCTTAATTATATTCCTGGAATTATTTTGATAGAATTTTATTGGCACTTCACTATAATTATCAATTCTAATTGGCGGTGGAAGAACTTCAGCATTTCCAAAAAGCATGTAATAAGTAGCACCTTGTAAGATAATTTCCAATCTTAAGAAATGCATGATTCCATTTATATCTCTTACATTAATGTAAAGTGATTGTGTTTCTTGTATTGGAATTCCACTTGACCATAAACATTCCTCAACTTCTGGTAACCGTACACACAATTGTTGTTCTTTATCAAGTCGTGGCCAATGGAAGGGTAAATGACATCCAGGCACAGCTTCAATAAAAGTCGATTGAGCTATTTGATCTGTTAAAACAGTTGCAAAGCATTTTTGTGCAAATTGTAGCTTGTAAGAGCTTTTATTGTATAATTGGAATCTTGGCGAGAATGTAACAATGCTTGTCTGTGAATATCGTCCACGACCTCTTCTCACTTCTATTCCAATTATGAACGTTTCATTTGTCGAATTTGATTTCAATTGACGATGAAGAATGTCTTTGTGGAGATTAAATGGCTGACACCATGGCAAATTAGTTCCATATCTCCTTCCTAATCGTATTGTTAATGCCATTGAACTGTCTGGATCACTGAATGAGAACATTAAAGGCGAAACTAATCGAGCTTGCTCATTTTCAGAAAATTGACCAGCAAATTCTGTTGAGACGCCTTCCTGCCTGAATATTAAAGGCAATCCTGTTCGATTAATAAGCCAGAATGGTGCTGAGATAGATATTTGCATGCCACATCCACGAAAGACTTGAATTAAGGCTTTAAGAATTAAAATTTTTCCATTTACATCCGTTAATCTTAATTCTACTTCTGCTGTGCCTGATGCTACTGACTGAATGTAAATTTGTCCAGCACCAGAGAATGAATCAAGTGTTATTGTTATTTCTAATGGCTGATCCAAGTCAACTTCATGGATATTTGCTGTATTTGAGGATGAAATACGTCCTTGAGTTCCAGTCGGAAGTCTAAATAATAAATCACATGGAAGTAGATTGTGCAGTCTCAATGGTGGCCAAAGAGTTATTGTATGACCAGGAAGTAATGCATTTAATGAGTTGTCTTTACTTGGATACGATTCCTTTTTAATTGCAAAGACTAATTTATAAATTTTATTATTTATGCTGCAACATGTTCGTGTCTCTTGATGAATTTCTGTTGGATCATGAACATCCTTCCAATGAATCGATTTTTCAGTAAATTGAAAGTTGCCGACAGTTCCACCATCACAAAATTTACCAAATCTATTCCAATATTCATTTCCATCAAGTCTATCAATTATTTGATTATTCGTTAAAATATTAGAATTAACAGCAACATCATCGAGACTAAAGTTCAGTGGAAGTGGCTTTACGTATAAAAATGCATGAACATGACTTAGAGGCACGCTATAATTCTCATTTGATGCTACAATAACAGTTCTAGCTGGAGGCCAGGAACGAATATTTAAATGTCCAAAAAGATGATCCATTTTCATCAATATTGGATGGTCTAGTTTGTTTATGAACTTTAGTGCTGATCTCACCTGTTGAGGATCAGGATATTTTTTTCATATTAAGATTTCAACGGATATTTAAAATTCAAATTATTTAGGTTCAAAGTTTGAACTTTAGAAATTTTTAAAAAAAATGTTAAAAATTCAAATTCTACAAATTCGTTACATTTTAAATTCTAAATTATAGACTCACCGTTATCAATTTTCTCGCTGATCCCTCAAGACTAACTGCAAACACAATTCTCGACCTCGGTGCTGTTGAATAAGTATCCACAATTTCCGGACCGGCATGTCTAAAGAACGTACCGACTTTGTCAACAGAAATTGGACCAACTTCCGCCCATCCTTCAACTCTCACGGATATTTGATGTAAAATTGATTTATGTGAATCGATGTGACGTTGCTTAGTCTGTGTCTGCATGAAACTGAATGTTATTGTATCTCCAGCTTCAACAATTTTCCATTCTTTTGGAGTACGACTTTGCTGCGATGGATTATAAATTGTATTATTTCCAGGAGTTGATACATAAGTTGTAAAGAATAATCTAGCTCCAGTATCATTTTTAATTGCGAATGGAACGAATGGACTTCTTTTAATCATAACTGATGAATTTGTAGAATAATAATCCTGCATCCAATTGTCTTTAACAATCTCATAAATCTCCATCAAAGTGCTAGTCACGTTTAATCTTAAAACTTCATTGCTTTTTATCTTTAAATTTAATCTCGATGACTGTGAAGCAATTTGTGCTGCATTGTAACTCCAATTAGCCTCACATTTCCATTGCTCAACAATTGGTTCCCATCCACTTAATCCACGATTATAATAATCTGATCCAAGGACTGTTTTTAAATGTCCTTCTCGAATATTTCCACTAATTGGTGTTCGTTCCTTAAAATTTATATCCTGGACCAATTCTAAATGTGTTAGTGATAATTCTATTAAAGGAACATCAGCATCCTTACAATCATCAATGACACAAATTGATATCCTTGATGCTTTCACTTCTATTGTATTTATATCCATTCCATCTTCTTCATTTAATTTTCTATGTGCTGGACTTCTTAATGGCTCTGCATTTTGTGTAAGCCACAATGCTGCTTCATCGAGCTGATTATCACTAACTTCTAATGCCAATAAACAATCTTCATGCTTAAATCCAAGTGATTTTAATTTCAGTAAATTCCGTCCGTCACTAATAATTACACCAGATCCACTTCTTCTGTTCCTAGCATGATGAGTTTGTTGTGGAAGTGACTGTAGCATTCTTTGGAACATTTTTACATCATGATATGACAATCTAATAAGGAAGTGCTTTTGGAAATGAATTCCAAGTGTTCCTTTACGTACTTCCATATTTACTGTTACTGGATCTATGATGGAAAGTGCTGTCTCATCTTCAGCATTAAAAACACAACTGAATACTTCTAAATTATTTAAATTTATCGACATACTTTTATTAATTTCATGTGGCTTGAAATTAAGGACTGTTGTGGATTTAAGGATGACTGCATTTGTATCAAATTGGTCAGTTCTTTCAACAAAGACTAATTCAGAGTCAGTGACATTTAATTTAAGCTCAAATGTTCCACTGTTATTAACTGGAACTTCCTTTTTATGTAAAACTTGAAGTTCTGCTGGTTGTTCATCAATTTGAAGTATAAAATCTCGAGCTTGTTCAAGCCAATCAAGGATCATCATACAACGCATATTATTGAGTAATATTGTAAATTGAGTATTATCGTCTCTCCTCCTGCTATGAATCTCTGCCTGAATAATTGTTCCACGATCCTTTAAAGGCTTTAAAATATTTGTAAAAACATTAATTGATGGATTGATTTCACTGTCATTTAACCATGTTCTTGTGTCTGTTATGAGAATTTCCTGCGATATTAAGTCAATATCTTGTGATCCGTCACTTTTGGAATCAACTTTAAGTGTCGATTTAATGAAATTTATACAAGCTAATGATATACTTTCTGGCGTGTGTTTCATAGACACAGAAACATCTTGCAAGTCAAGAACTATTGATAAATTATTCCATGTGCTATCTGCTTCATTTCCAGCAAAACTCGAGTTTAAACTTAGTGAGCTATCATAAATATTTGTCAAAACTGATGACTGATATACATCATCAATTTCCTCGCCTAAATTATATGATAAAAATCCACGAATGAGTTTATATTGTGCAAGTGTCAATTCAGCTTCAAGTTTCGTCAAAAATCCATGAACTGAAATGTCATCAACATTATGACTCCGCCATGAATCAATGTTTCTCTCAATTTGTAGCTTTAAGTGACACTGATTTTTCAATAAACTATCGCCACTTTTGTAAAGATAATAATTTCCCATGTCAATGCAATTGCTGTTTTCAATTATTGGCTGCAATCTTGTATTTTCACTCTTTTGAACACGATATCCAGCAAATAAATCTGTATGTAATAAATTCACCATCATGACATCGAGCATCTCTATCGGTCCATATTTCTCTTTTCTAACACTTATTGTCTCTCGATCATTCGACATTTTAAATTCATTCTTTAGTGTTAGCTGTCCTAGATTGGCAATAATCAATTTCTCACTACGAGCACTCATTGGCAAGAGAATTAATGGCGATTCAGCATATATCTCTAATCCCAATTGTGTTGGACGTATTTGATGATCTGACTTCATTTTCTTCATGACAGGCACTTGAAGTTGGAACAAATCCTTGATAAATGTTTGAACATCCATCACAAACCTGTTGGATGAAGAGCATTAAAAAAATATTTTTGACTTCAATTTTAACGGTTTTTAAGGATTTGAATTTTAACGGATTTTCAGGATTTGAAACTTAAGGTTCAAATTTTGAACTTGAAATTTGAATTTTCAAACACCGTTAATTTTTGAAAATCCGTTAAATTGAGTATATCTTACCGTTTAGTATGGACGTATCTTACAGATGACATCTTAATATTCACCTCAGCATCTTTCTTTAATGACCTCTTTCCAGCCGCTGGTTTCGATGAATCTTTGATATAAGTAAACTTGAGAGCTTCATTTCCACTTGTCATAAATTTTTCTCTATAAATGCAGCCATGAACTGTCAAATCAGTCACAGAAATTGATCCTAAAGATCCCTCGATAGTTTTTGCGAGTCCAACTTTAGTTACTATAAATCGAGCATTAGATACGTTCGCTCTAGCCAGTTCATATTCAGGTTTTACGAGAACTAAAGTTAATGACTTGATTGTTATGTCCAATTCTGATTTCTCTAATGATACTTGTTCATTTTCAGTTTGTGTTGTGACATTTGATGCTTTATTGGAATTAGAATCGTCATCAGACAGTAATCCAAAGAAATTAAGTAGAACAAACCAACTTTCAACAGAAATATTAAGGCTTAAGCAGTTAAAGTCAATAGAACTTTTAGCTCTTATTGATTGATATTTAGACTCAAATTGTGGACATTGAGGATCAACTATAAAGCTTGAATAAATCACTAAATTATCTTCTGTTGATTTAGTTTGTTGTGGTGAAGGCGGAGGAGTTCCTGGACAATTTGATGTGATATTCTGCAATTTCCTTGTTATACTTTGTCGCTTAATAAATTGCTTAAATCCAACATTCTGCTCTAAATTATCAGGCAATGATGTAGACAGTAAATTAGCACCGCGTCCAAAGGAAGTTAAATCAGGACATGAATTAGATAAAAATGGAGTTTGTAAGCGTTGCTGTTCATCATTTGCAGATGTTACCATAATTCTATGTTTCGAGTCAATTGGACGTAGCAAATCTTCCATAATGACACTTCTAAGTGATACTTGAAGGTTCGTTTCCCATTGATTCTGTTTTTCATAATTGACATTAAAATCACGAAAGCATATCTCAACAACTGGTGAATTTTCTGCATTATTAAGTTGAATTATAAAGACTGGGAGACTAAATATGACTTTTGGAAGCATCTCATCCTTTCTCTTTTCGATACTTGATTGTGAGAATAAAATTTTCTTAATTTTCTCATTATCATCGAATGAAAATGTATCATGTTCTTCAGATTCCTGTTTTTCAGTCATTGGATATTTAATTGAACTTCCATCTTGTGGTGGACGTAGCAAGTCATTCGGCACATTAAATGCATTCTCAATTGTATCGAGAAGTTGCTCATATTGTGGACGTTTTAAAGATAATCTTAGTGGATTCACAATACTTCCACTAATTATTAATTGATTTAATTTCTCTTCATAAACATCATTCATGCTTACAAAGGAACCACCACTCGATTCAAAGTGCATCGATGTAGAGTCAGTTTTACGACAAATTTCTAACCTTATTGCTGTGTCATGGATAATTGCGACTGCATCTTCTTGGCATGAATAAAATTCTTCAGAACGTGGCAGAGCTGAAAAACGAAAACCTTTACGTGACGTGGTATCCAATGAATATAAATTCATGTTTCTTATGTCAATTGTATAAATATCACAACTTAATTCATCATCATCGCCCACAGATCCTTTAACTGTTTCTTCTACATCTTCTATGTCAAAAAGGATATTTTCTTCGCTATTAAAATCTTGTGCACTAAAGCTTAAATGCAGCTTATCCTCATTTATTGTTGTTAATGTTTCATTCAATAATTCACAATTTTCCAATCCTCCGTGATTACTTATTGATATTTTACCTAAATGTGCGACTAATACTTGAGGACTGCTACTTGATCTCGGTACAATTAAAACTGGTGTATTTAAAACAATGTCTAGGGATATTTTTACAGAAGGCGATGTGGTAAAATTATCATCTGGATATCTTGTTATTGAAATTGTTCTTTGTCTTTTTAAGTGATGAGGTGAACTCGACATTTCTTGTACACTTCTAATTAAATCTCCCGAACGAGGCTGTACAAGCCCCAAAGCCATGTCTGTTGCTTTCTCTTTAATTGATTTTGCAAGATTTCTGAGAAAAAAAATTAACGGTTAAAATCAATTTGAATTTTAACTGTCAAAATAAATTTAAATATCAAAACCATACAAATTTATTAGAAACATTTGTAAGGTTTTCAGACAATTCAAATTAAATTTGACTGATTAAAATTCAGAAAACTTACTTTAAGTAATGCTTAAATTCAGTAGCACACCAACTCAGTTCCTGCATGAATCTAGCACAATGAATAAGCCACACAGATCCCATTCGAATTTTTATATCGACACAAGCATTTAAATTTCTCGAGATTTTAAATGATAAAGCTTGCCGATCTTCTCTACATTGTGTCTTAATTCCATAAATCTCATTAGATAATGTTATTACTGGATCTATAGTTTCTATCGGGATGTCAGTCAATGGATCATGTCCAACAGATAATATTCTTTGATGATTAATTCCTTCTGGCGTTAAATCGATGACTTGAAGTCCGCCAAGAGAACCTTCAACTTTAATAGACTTTCCAATTGTTGAATGAATTTTAGCCTCGCTCATTGTAAATGTTCCAACTTTTCTTGCAACTAAGAAACTATCTCTCATAACAGCACGCAATATCAAGACATTCAATCGATGAAAATCGAAAGTTATTTCAGTTCTTAAATTTCTTTCGTCTTTTGGCTTGTTTGTTAAATTACTTTCATCATAGACAGGCCTTGAAACTCGACTTTTTGATGTCTTTTTTGGCAATACTCTTTTCACAAATCCAAGCAGCTCAACAATTGTCTCTTGATTCGCAATAATATCCAAATTATTAAACTGAATATTCGCAACTTGCAGTCTATCACCATCACCTTCCGGTTCAATGAATGTTACTTCAATTGTTATCAGCGCATCTATATCGTCGAATGAAGCATTCCAAGCATTTGGAGGAGGTGAATTAACTGACATATGTTCGATAAAATTGACATATAAACGCAAATGAAAAAGTTTCATGCAAAAAGAAAGGATACAAAGAATAAAAATTAACATAAGGAAATAATATATAAACTAGTGGTTATGGGCCATGCAATTTGCATAAAAATTCATCACGCACTCAGCATTTAAGAGATGTATAGTACAGATAAATCAACTAAATATTTATACCAGTGGAAAAAAAACTGTTGAAGGGTTCTAGAAATTAGACATTGGAATGCTTTAGAAAAGCTGTTGTACGGTTTTAATTTTTGAAAAAATAGGGTTTTCAAACACAAACGATTTAAATTAAAAAAACCGTTAAAATAAATAACAAATTATTCAACAACTGAACCATATTAAAATTGAGCATAAAAACCAAACTCACCTCTTTGCAGCGAGCTTATAGCCCTTGAAATAGACAAAGGACTTGTTGGACGAATATTCATAGAAGGATCTGGAGATCCAGGCGAGCACGGAGAACAAGGCTCACTTTGCCTTAAACTTCCCGATAAACTATCCATTCCAACATGACGATGACTTGCAATAAGAAGCTCAAAATCAGGTCCATAACTTTGCATAGCATCAACAAGTAAAAGTCCATGAACAGAAAGTGTAATGTTCGTATCATTAGCTCTTTGAGTAAGTCCAGCTTTGACTCCAGAAACTTGAAGTTCAACAATACTTCTGCCGCATGATTGAACCTCCAATGACATTTGATCAATTGAGAATTGTAATAAAATAAGTTTTGATGTATCTGGGCTATAAGAGTCATTGACATCCGCTTCCTCAATGACATTTGATTCTAAAATTGGTGAATCGACTTTTATTGGCGTATCATTTGCGCTGTTATAAATACTATTAAGCATATTCGTAATTGAAGTGATTTTTGATTCATTTATATGCGCATTAAGTTTCGGTAAAGTTCCACATAAAGTTAGTGATGGATATTGTGGATCTGTTGTTTGAACAATTCGTCTTTCAAGCTGTAATGAGATATTGAATCTATCAAGGACATGCAAATTGGATGTTCCTTTTGAACTAGCGAAATTCCAACGCTCTCTGCCTTTACAAACAAGTACTTGTAAGTCTGTCAAGCTGATTTCATATCTATCATAAATTTTATGGTACAAAGTTGTCTCATTTATTTCAGTTTCATCCGCAGACAACTGGATTGATGGCTTATGACTAAGATTTGATGATAATGGAGTTTGATATAAATCAGATGCCATTGTCGGTGGACTTTCTAGACTTGTTAATGTCTCAAAATCAGGCGGTGTTGAACATGGTGTCAAGAACAACTCGTCATCCTCGCTATCTTTAATCGAAACATCAAATTGATTGCCGTCCTGTATTGTTGTTGTTTTACCAGCATTATTTACGCGATTTTGGAGACAATTTGACAACTGTAACCGTCCAAAATCAATCACAACAATTGTCGTTCCTTGACGATCTATAAAATTTTCAACAAACAAGATTTGTGGTGCTGATACATCAATCTCAAATGTCCATGTCTTTCGCTCACTCAAACGACCTTCAATAATGTCATTAAAGTTTTTCTTTAGTTCCATTTTTGTTTTATTCTTCATTGCCTCGATTTTTCTACGTGCACCTTGAACGTGTGGTTTCGATAGGAACTCTACAAGCCATGTCATTACGTCCGTATTATAGACGATATCAAGGGAACGTGATTTAATTAATAGTCTATAATCTGTTGTGTATGCGAGTGGCTTATTCTCATATTCTAATTGAAATAAAGGTTCTGGATTCTCATCAGGTATTGGTGGAGATGTAGCCAAAAGATTTAAGGATATCCGACTTCTTTGTAATTTTGTCTTTAACAATAATTCATCCTTTGATTGTGGCTTAATTAAGTCTGGAAATTCTGTGTTTGGTGTGAGGAAGTCTTTAACAAGAATTGATCCAAGTGACAGACTTACTAAATGAGAACCTGACCTTGGTCTTGACTCAACATTCAACAGAAGTTCCTCAAAATGAAATTGAATTGCTTCTTTTAACTTTTCATTGACTCCTCCTCTATAAACATCCAACGAACCTGGGCAAGATCAGGAAAAAAGGGAAATGTCTATAGAAATTGTTTCTAGAAAAGGATCATGAATGATTAGTTTTTTGGAATTCAAATTTTTAACTGGTTAAAAAAATCAAATTTCTGAACGCACCCTGATTACAATTTTTACAACGGTAATGTTTTGCTGTAGTTTTAAATTTAAAAATCATTAAAGTAATAAACAAATTAATTAAGTTAACTTATAAAACAGCCAATTTGAATTTTTAAGTCTTCGCATTTACTGAGATCTTGCTCACCTTTTTTAAGTGTAAATTGGAACTTGCCAAAAACAGCATCACGCTTTAAAATTGAATTCGTTTCGACTGTGTCAGCAAGTGCATTAAGCAATTCATCTTCAAAGCTCGTTTGTGGTTCAATATTTGGTGTAGATCCAGTCGATAATGGAGGAGATTGATTGACAGGCGAGACATTACTATTTCCGTACCATCCCCACCATCCAGGAAACCAATGAACAAGCATGGATCGTCCTTGATTATTTGCTGCTGCTGCCGCAGCTTTTATTTCATGTGGTTGTGGAAGAATGTACATGCAAATTTCTCTCAATTCTCTTAATTCATCCAAGTTCCTTTCTTTTTCTATTGTTTCCTTAAATTCTTTATCATCACTGGTTAATATTTCATTTGGATTAGCTATTAATTTCATACATATTTTAATATATTTTATATTATTCTTTGCTGTCAACATTGAATCTCTGTGCCTTAAAAATCCATGACATTTAGCTGCATAAATCCACCAAGCACGCACATTTTCTTTTACATTAACTTGTGGCTGTAATAAGCGATATTTTTTGTATTTTGCAACATCATCAATTCCGCGAAAACCGTTGACTAATAAATTATATTGATTCTCATTAAGTGATAAGGAAATTTCATTTAAGATTAGATTGCAAGTTAATCGTGGACGATTTCTAGTACGTAAAGGCGTTTCACTGCGATCTCTTTTGAATTTAGCTTGTGCAGATACTGGCTTAATTATATATTCATGACTTTTTGCTTTAATTCTTTCGATTCCTTCAACTAATTCATTGCTTTCAAATTTACTTAGCACATCATCAGGATCTAATGCGTCCATATAAAAACTCAATGAATTAAGTTCTATTAATTTAAATGTAGCCTCATTTTGTGCCCAGTTTGTCGTAAAACCAGGAATCCAATTTGTATCACAGCTTTGTGCAGTAAGCGATTCGATTGTTAAACCACAACAGAAATTACTTTTAGGAATTGTGATGGAATCTTCATAACGAATATGGACGTCTTTTATATTAAGCTGTAGATTCTCGACAATATTTGTTATTAACGATGTGCCATAACTCATCCATCCTGAATAGGAACTTGCATAGTACGAACTGTCTTCATTTTGTGTTCGCCATTTTACCTCTAAATTATCAAGGTATGATTGCTTATAATGTAAATCAGCTAGCTCTTCTGCATTATTGTCCCACTATAATTTTTATTAATTAATTTTTGTGATTAGATAAGAATTAATTGAGTGCCTATTAAAATAACGAATTTCAAAAATTTGAAACCCCATTTTTTGACTTTTTTTTTCTTCGTATAATTTTCAAATTTTCAAAAACCGGGAGCTTAATTTTACAGGTAACGTTTCTTAAAAATTCGAAAGTTATATGATGAAAAAAGATTAGGTTTCCAATTTTTGAAAGTCGGTTATTTAATAGGCACTCGAATTAATTGCCATATTGTTACCTCATCAAGATTAACAGGTCCGCAAACGACGTAAACTTTCTCGATATTAATACACCAAGGAGCTGTTCGAAACTGCCTGACTGGAATCTGTAGCTTAATCTTTCCAATTGATCCACTGTAAGCCTTAATTGGCAATCCAAAATGACTGAGAGCATCTTTCTTTAACGGCAAATTTTCAAGCTCGACTTCGCCTGCGAAAATAAAAGTTATTTTTTATCAGACGTAAACATAAATCTCCTTGAACTTGAAATGTTTTTCCTCTGTCGCATTTGAGAGTTTAATACACTGATGAAATCATATGGCCGTGAGCAAGCAAAGCAAACAGAAGAGAAGAGAAAACGAAAATGTGCGTATATACTATTTTTGTTGTTGTTTGTTTGGTTTGAGTTTCTTCCTCTTCGCTGACTGCCTTATTTTTTTATTAGTGATTGCATCATCGCATGTCCAATTAAATTAAAAGAAATTCAGCTTTTTATGGAATCTTACTCAATCACATTTATTTTCATTTATATCTATAATTAAGCTTGGTAAGCGAAATTGCGATGGTTTTAATGAAAAATTGTTCATGTCTAACTGTAAATTGCGCACAAGAAACGTGTTAATGACTCATTTCTGGATCTTTCAAATGCGACAGAAAAGTAAAATTAAAATAATGTTGTCTTACCAGATAAGAGTGCTACTGTTAGCTGAGTAGTATTTAGATTCTCGACATATTTTCCTAGATAATTATTGAGCACCCAAGCTATTAAATCACGCAACATAATTCAACTTTTTTTCATCAATCACAAAATTTCACAAAACATATTTTTATCACTATATTCCACGATTTCTTTTATGTATTAATGTTTATCAAGTTACTAAAATAAATAATTTATTAAAACAGTCCTTTAAAACGAAAGATTTGCACTATAATTTAATGAATTAAAAAATTTTCTCGGAAATGAATGAGAAAAATTGTTGTTTTTGTAATTTTTTGATCCAAAGTTCTTTTGTTTACAATTTAAATGGTTACTGGATTTTCAGTAAAATGGACATAACAGCTCCTAATTTCAACGTCAAACGATGATATAATACATGATTTTAATTGTGGATGACATTAGGATTGTGAGACATTCTTCAATTTTGAGATTTTTGTCTATTAATTGTCATTTTTTCTTGGAATATTTTTTGGTTTATTCTTTTGAATTTATTTTAACCGTTAATCGAGTTCATTGTAAAATACTTGAAAAAGCTCATTTTCTCTTAATTAAAGAAAGATATCAGCTATGTTTAAACTCTTACTGACCAATTTGATCATTGTCTTTCGAATAGAATTAAATTTGATTGACAAATATGCAAAAATAGCGATATTCCCAACCACCTGTTGATACCTACAAAGAAATCATCACCAAAATCAAGTCAAGTACTTGCACAAATTGTTTAAAATTTTCCTCAAGTAACGTCGAATTCATGCAAGTGATAAAATATTTTTTTTTACCATTGGGCCGTTCACTTATTACGTTACGCAAAAAAACGACTTTTTTTCACCCCCCTCCCCCCTTGTTACAATATGTTACAACTCACAACCCCCCCCCCCCCCCCCCCCTGAACACTCATAATTTATTTTATCATTAAAAAGGTAGAAAATTTAAAAAAAAAATGTTTTTGGTGTGAATTATTAAACATATTTTTTCGTGAACATTTTTTTAAAAGACAGACAACAGTTAGAACGTTACATACTTCTTGACACCCCCCCCCCCCCTAAAATGCAAACCTAATAAGTGAACGGCCCCCAATCAAAACACAATTTTTTGTCATGAAGCAAATAGACTTTCATGTTCAACCTGAATGGATGCCTATTCATCATGCTCAAATGTGCGAAAAAAAATCAAGAATTTATAACTTGAATGAATAAATTGATGACCTTTCACAAGAATATTTTTGGCTTCAGAATCAAGAAGACAATTTCTGTTCATTCATGAAAAATAAGTGATTATTTGTAGTTCGTGGGGAAGTTCATAAATGAGGTCTGTCGAATATTCAAAATTCATAGTTTCTACACCAATTCCACTCAAGCCTACTTTCAAGTCAAAGAATCAAAAGAGCCAGGGTTAAGATCTGTAATAGAAATCGACAAGAGATTGAGGCCAAACTAAGTCAAACAGATTCCTCACATTACACACTTGGCATGCTCTTTGAGACCCCCTTCGAATGCTAACCTCCGAATAATTGATCATCATGTAAGAATGACTCTCCGAAATGCATTTACAGACACAGATTTGCATGCAAGTATTATAAAAATTGTATTAATGCACACAAGTTCAATACTAATCAACTTCCGCATTAGTTGAAAATATTGCATTTAGTCATTATTCATCATTCACAGTTTTGCAGTTATAGGTGAAAATTCACAGTTTTAAGTGATCAGTGAATTAAATTAATTTAATCCAAATTCAATTCCGTACAACGTAAAATTGATCGTGAAAAAAAAAGATTGTAGACTGAGGCTGAATTAATCGACTAAACAGCTGTTGACCTATTATCAAGAATTTAAATTTAAATTTATTTCGAACAAATTAGTGATATTTTGAGGCCTGTAAAAGCATTTTTCACAAACAATATTAATTTATCACCGTCAACGATAGGAAATTTAGCTGTTAATTGTGTCTAATAAATTATACGGAACGAAGTCAAAAGGAACCGAATTTGATTATGCAATTTTTTAGAAGCTCCTCGCTCAATATGACACATTTGACTTAATTAAATTTTGACAAAGTGAAATTAAATTGATTCTATTTCAGTCGACTGATAAGATTAACCAGCTTGACTGGTAGAACAAGTAGAAAAATTCTATTATACAGTGACTGATTAGATAAGATAAAAACATTCAAGGACAACCATATTGTGACTCTCGTAGACTCTTTAATGTCTCTCTTTTCATAATAAAGAATACAGAAGATTAATAAAGTAATTATGGATTTCGTGTTGGGAGGTTTTTCTGCTGCTTGTGCCGGTAAATATTAATCAAACCTTATATTGAACTTTTTAATGTCATTTAGTCGTATTTACCATCACATGTGCATTTTAAAGTGTAATATTCATTCTTCTATCTACCGACTCTATCGACAGCGTCATAAAGAAGTCGATTAGATTTTATAATTCGTAAATTTTCGTTTGACTGAATCATGACGTTGAGTTTTGTTTTTATTTCTTTCCTGAGTACCGACTAAATTATTTATTTAAAAATAAACAGTGAATATATGAAGAAAATAAGTAGGAATAGAAGATGCTAATGATGACAAATCGTACAAACGCATTTTGTACCTTTCTTATTTGTCGATTTCTTCATTTGAATAATAATGTGACCTTTAAAGTCATTGCTTAGCAATTTCTTACTGTTTTGATATTTTAAATTGGAATCAAATAATGTAAGGCTATGAAATTTAAAGAAGATTGAAGAAATTATCGAATAAATCTAAGAAATCGTTCGTCGAGATACAAACAACTTGCTTAAAGTTAGGTTTTAATACGTTTAAAGCTTTATGCTGTTGCAACTCCTGGTTTAAATCAAAAGTTGACAACTTTATAAAAGATTTAGACTTAGAAGCTGAAGACAAGTTGAAAGCTTTACAATATAAAATCAATTATAAAGTTGAATATTTATGAACTTTAAAGCTGCATTTGACTTATTGTCTTACTTTTAAGAATGCTTCTTTGAGTTTTTGTAATGGTTTACTTGACATGCTGTATTTGACAAATAAAATTGTTAAACTCATAGAAAATTTATAACAAATATCTGAAATTAATTTTTTTGGGAAAATTGAGCAAATAAATGCCAGTATTTACTTATTACGGAACGCAAAAAAACGTTTTCACCCCCCCCCCCTTGTTACAATATGTTACAACTCACAACCCCCCCCCCCCCCCCCCCTGAACGTTCATAATTTATTTTATTTTGATTATTTATTATTTTAAAAAGACGGTTAAATTTCTTTTGTTTTTTTTCTTAAACATCAAACTGCATCAAACTACTGTACAGCTAAATTGGTCATGTTTTGATTGATACTATTAGTATTCTCATGAATTATGAATTATGAAGAAAATTCAAAAATGTCATGAAAAATATTATGCTCGATCGAATTTTGGAAAAAAAATTTTAAAAGACAGACGACGTTACATACTTCTTGACACCCCCCCCCCCCTATGTTACATCTGGTTACAATTTTTTAACCCCCTCCCCCCTAAAATGCGAACGTAATAAGTGAACGGCCATTTTAATACAGTTTTCACAATTGGAATAATCTGAAAACAGAAATATTTTACCTTTTTTTACCTCAAATATTTCGATTGAAGCACATCAAACTTTAGAAACCTATTTAAATTTTATGTCAAGCTACTGAGTTTTTCATATTGAACAAAGAAACCCATAGATATTTATCTGGAAATTCACATCCCAAAAAATCTGATCTACAACAAAATAACATTAAACATGTTTCAAATTTTCCTTTATTTTCTGTCAATTTATAGGATTCTTCAGCAATCCCTTTGATGTCATAAAAACGAGACAACAACTACAGGGTGAGATGGTATCAATTCAGCATGGCATAAAGGATCTACAATTGAAAGCTGAAAAGCAAAAGCAGCCATATAAAAATATTTTTCAATCAATCAAATCTATTGTTAAATCGGAAGGAATACGTGGATTACAAAAAGGATTGCCATCAGCACTAGCATTCCAATTTTGTATGTGCATATGATACTATTGATATTGATATGACTTTAGTGTTGTGACACTGAAAGATAAATTGAATTGAGGAATGATGAAAATTATTTCCATGTTCTTATTATAGGTATGAATAGTGTACGGTTAGGAACTTATCAGACAATTGATAACTATGGATATAACAGAAACACAAATGGTGAATTGAATCCGGGATTGTGCATATTGTGGGGTGGTATAAGTGGGATATTTGGCTCAACTGTTGGATGTCCACTCTACATGATTAAAACGCAGATGCAAGCACAGAGTTATGGCAAATATGCTGTCGGTTTTCAGCATGGTCATAAATCTACTCTCGATGCATTCAAAAGGATATTAGCTGAAAGCGGTGTACGAGGTAATGAAAAAAGCATAAGTGTTGTCCTATCATTCCTAAAAAAATCCCTAAAAATCCTATCAAGCAGGGTTGTCAACCGAGTACCATTTTGTTAAGGAACTTATGTCATGTTTCAGGCATGTTTTGATGATGGTGTGGAGCAAAAGTAACCTTCATATAATATTCATAGTAAGCCTCTGTTTCATGCCTAATCTCAGCTTTACAACCCTGCTTTTAAGTAAATTCAAACACATAAACCCACATGAACTGGTAAACCAGCTTAAACTGTTCAAATTCCAATTTAACAAAATATTTCAATTAAAGGATTATGGCGTGGATGGACAGGAATCCTTGCAAGAACATCTGTTGGCTCGTCCGTTCAATTATCGACATTTTCAAAAACCAAAGATTTCCTCATAGGTTATGAAGTATTTGCTGAATCAATAGTATTAACAGCTTTCACATCTTCAATATTATCCGGCTTCTATACATCACTAGCAATGAATCCATTCGACACAATTGCAACACGAATGTTCAATCAAGGAGTGAATGCAGAAGGAAAAGGACTCTTGTACAAAAATTTATTGGACTGTTTTGTGAAGACCATTCGTGTTGAGGGATTGCTTGCCTTATACAAAGGGTTTGCAGCAAATTACATGCGCATAGCTCCACATACCATTCTGAATCTCACATTTTGGGATTTATTTAAAAATTGGAAGGATCTGTATTATGACTCTGTGGTATATTTAGAATGATATGTGGAAATTTTTATGTTTATGTTTATACTTCTTTAAAATTTGCATACATAGTATCCACATCCACATATTCTTATGTATATGTTTGTCTATTTATAAAACCATAATTGTTATACGTTATTGTTTGGGAACATCCAACTCATCCGCATGAGACTTCTTTATAATTATCTTTAACGATGAGTTTACAACTAATTAATTACGAAAGTAACAAGTAATAATTACCCAGCCTGAGCACATAAATATTTTTTTATTATAAAAACACAATTTGAGTCTCCTAGGCAGTGTTGTTGACCTGGATGTTAAGATAGAATATGAAGATCACGTTTTATTCAAGACATAGAACTGTGGCTGATTTCTTAGAGTCTTAGATTAGATTTCTTAGAGTCAAAGTATAGCACTTAGTGTTACATTTTGATGCAGCTATAAATTTGATACTACCGATCATCTTAAAATAGCTTAACCTAGAAATTCAGACAAATAAGTTCTATCTATAGACCCATTTTCAAACTAAGCTAGCTTTCCTCTTTCCCAATTAGGTGTCTGGGAGTCTAAACAACCAGAACTATAAAGGAATTGGCCTTAATATTTATTAAATATTGTTCTTGATATAGATCAGACTCAAATTTGATCTGGATTAGCCAAACAGCTAGAAAGCAACACTGTATCCTCACTCAAAATTCTCTTCTTGTTTTATTTTTAAAATGAACAGATAAATGCTGTCTTTAAAGTCGTAGATGTCGTTCGTCTGGCATTTGAATGCTCTGTGTATATAATTAAAGTGTTAAAAATTTTCATTCTCATTCACTATAGTCGATTCCTTTGTCAAGAACTTTAACTTACCTCATTAATCACCTGTAAAATGAGTTTTTTACATTTTAAAAAACTTCATGTATAATGGTGACAGTTTTTGAATGGAAATTGGATCAAGATGATTAATATGGATGTAAAAGGAAGGAAAATTTCACTACAATACGTAAATGAAAAACTTTGTCCTTTTTTCAAACAATTCATTCGAATGAAAATGAGATTAAATTACGAGCTCAATAGAGGAGCAGTGCCTTTATAAGGGAAATTTTCTTGCTGTATGAAATAAAAGCAGTCAACTTGATCCATTTATTATGATCCATTCAGAGAGCAATGTGAAAATATTAAATTTATGCTAGCAATTTATTAAGTTCTGATCGATTAGAGCGCATTATTTTATGCGAAAAATCAGATTGAAAATTTTAACGATTTTCTAAAACTCAAAATCTAGCGACTTTCAAAAATTGAAAATATAACGGTTTTTTTTATAGATTTAAATATTTTAACAGCCTTAAAGTTTAAAAAACGTGGTAAAAAAAGAAAATTTTAAAACATTGTTGCATCAATAAAAATTAATAATTTATAATTTTACCATCCATCACTCATCAGAGACACCTCCACAGCCTTAAAAAATACCTACAGCACACTCACCTCAGAAAAATGTACGATAAAAACCTACTGTAAGAGTAAATAAATGTATAATGAAAGTCAAATGAGAATGACATGAAAAAAGTATGAAACTGAAGTTGAATTGAATTAACTTTTTCACTCAGGTCATGTTTGTTCAAGTGCTACTGAATGGCATTCGAATGTTTCTTGTTGGTAAATGTAATAAATCTATTTCATACAAAGTCGAAAATATTGTTCTGTTCTCTATCGCGTGAAAGCAAATAAACATCTGAGGCAAGGAATTGTTTCCATTAACGCCTTCTTGACTTGTCTCACTTCCAACATGTTTATAGTATTTTTCTCGGTGTATGTTATTGTTGTAATACGCACACATAACAATGCAAGCGAAAAGACATGAAAAAATTTCTATTTTCTTCAATTTTATATCCTTGCTTTTGTACTTCTTTTACTACTGCTGTTTCACATCTCAATGAGGATGGAGTGAAGCACTTGAAGTGGATTCACAGAGTTTTAATTCAGCTCATTTCAGCTACAATAGTCACCTTATTTTGATTTTCTTTCTTCTTACGTTCTATGAAGCACATAGGAACGACATAAAGTATGTGAATTTTTTTACGACTTACCTCTCATAAGCAGCACCAACTTACCAACCTAACATGTTCAAAAAGCTTAAAGATAAAAGGAGGAAAAAAAAAATTATTTCTAGACGATAAAAACATTCGTTGCACTACTAACTTAATGCCTTCCTATACATCCTCTTTACATTCATATTCTTTACATGTGGAATGAGTTGTTACTTCCCATATATGATTTGTGAGTCGCAAGGAGAATAAAAAATAAATTGAAAAAAATGAATAGCTTAACAATTGTTTTCCTTATTTACCTTCAAGATATCTTGACATTTTTTTGTGTGTGCTGTCTTCAGTGCAGTTCTATGCCATAAAATTTTTCTCATAATAAACAATAAGGAACGAAGATAGAATCATGAAAAGAAAAAGAAGAAGAAAGTTGAATAAAGTTTCATTCAAGAACAGCATTTCATCACATTTCCGCTACGACTTTTATTACAGGCAGTTGTCCTAGGTCTATAACATTCTTTCATATTCGAAAGATATAAATTTCGAGATAAAGGAAGCAGACAATGATGATGGAATACGATATTATATGAAGAATATATGCTGAGCATACATTTGGATATATCCTCACCTTTTATTGATTTTTTACTTGTCTTTTGACTACTTAGTGCTGATAATAGCTCTACGAAAAGACAAAGAGAGATAAATAGCAATGTCATGGGGAAATAATTCATCAGAGATCGCAATAGAGAGCCACAAAATTTATGTCAAAGGTGTAGGAATTCAGCTAATTGTTGCTTAAGGTAAAATTATTGGTTTGCGGAAAATTTATGGCTGCTTTGCTGTCAAGTCTTGAATATGCTTTACATAGTAAGCAATGTAAAACATATTTTATAGGAAAGTAAGGCATGTAATCCCAAAGCAGCTTGAGGAATAAATGACAGTTACAAGAATGACGACCTTGATATGTAAGCTTCATTCTATTGGGGATTTAGATGAAAATCCTGACATAATTTTGGTATTGACTGCCGTTCGATTTTTTTTTATCGTTTGCTCAAGCGATATAGTTGCTATGTTGATAATATGTAGGTAGGTAAGGTCATGGAATTTATTGGAGTATTAATATTAAGTCTTTTGATTTGAAATGTAAACTTTAAAGTTGCTAAAACTCAAAATTTGAGCTTTAAAGTTGCTGAAACTCAAAACTGATGAATTCTCAAACTTTGATTTTTAGGTCATCGATGTGGGTGTTAAGTAAGTAATTTTTGGATGTTTTATTTGTATTTGTTTTAAGCACTAAAATATTTATGCAAAGTTTCAATCCATTTGGATAAACCCTCGAAGAAAAAAGTGACAAAATTGATTTTGACTAGGGTCGCCCCTAGTCCAAAATTGAAAATGTATTTCCTACTTGGTTCTTTGCTCAAAAAATTTTCAGGATATTTTATTTGTATTTGTTTTAAGCACTAGAATATTTATGCAAAGTTTCAATCCATTTGGATAAACCCTTGAAGAAAAAAAGTGACAAAATTGATTTTGACTAGGGTCGCCCCTAGTCCAAAATTGAAAATTTATTTCCTACTTGGTTCTTTGCTCAAAAAAATTTTAGAATGTTTTATTTTTATTTGTTTTAAGCACTTGAGTATTTATGCAAAGTTTCAATCCATTTGGATAAACCCTCGAAGAAAAAAGTGACAAAATTGATTTTGACTAGGGTCGCCACTAGTCCAAAATTGAAAATTGATTTTCTATGGTGTACTTTGGTCAAAAAAATTTTTTGGATATTTTTTTTTTGAATTGACATAATTCTGACATAAATCACATACCAATATTACTTTTTATAATGCATAGCTTAAAAAAAAAACGAAAGCTAAAATTTCGACTACTCCATCTGAATTTTGTTCATACTCTTCACTGTGGAAACCAAAAAACAAATTCTTTATCTTAAAACACTTGACAAAATAGCGACAAAATTCAGGATAGTTTACTTTTTAATAATATTTTAACATTTACGAGAAAATGTGATTCAAACAAGTGTGAAGTATGGTCGAGATTTGGACCAAAATCAGCTATACTGGTTCATAGTGTTCCCGAGGGTGACAAAATTTAAACCTAGTGTTTTTGTAACTGACATAATTATGACAGAAATTAGGTATAACTTTTGAACTGTGTCGATATGGGTCTCGGCCGTACTTCACGACCACGTCATCGATTTCGAAATAAATGAAATTCAAAATGATTGAAATAAAGGACTGAATTTTTAACAATGAAAATAAACAAAACAATAGTCTCATTGAATCAAGGGATAAATCAGAAACAGAGAGGGAATTGCTAGGAAATATTATGGTAAACAGAAGCGAAATAAATCCACTGTCGAAGAGTAAATAGCTTTTAGAAAATATATCAATTGACAATGTGCTACAAAAGCTAGCAATATACATTCTATTTTCGAAATATATATTGTTAATTGAGAAAGAAAAAGAAAATGACAAAAATAAACAAAAAGGCAAGTAGAAAAGTAGAAAAGTAATGTTGGAATGAGAAAAATTTCAACCTTATTTTTGTGTCTTCATTTTATTTTCTTTTATTTATTTTTATAACACAAAAAATTTGTTGTGAGTGACGTTGTGTGTGAGGATGAGCGGATGTATATAAAAAAATAAATTTATCTATAGATAATAAGATAAACAATAGAGAAAATTGAAAGAAACGTAAATTGTTGGGATCTTAACAGGTTAAAAAATTTAATTTCATTTCCACAGCAACCGAAAATATAATTTGATGAAGCCTGTCTCAATTAATTGAATAAACGATTTCTCTAATTTTGATGTTGTCACATTATTTACCACCAATGTATTCACATGAACAGATATAAAGAAGATTATTTTACGTCTTGAATTCGTGTTTTGAAGATCAATTTTTTTTTTATTTTCACTTGGTTGATTTTTTTTGTTTTTCAATCTCTTTGTTGTTGTTATATACTTCCTTCCTATTGAGACCCTTTCAAGTGAATTTTTCTCACACTTGAAGTGACAATAAGAAAGAGTATAATGGACTTACGTGATTATGGTAAGAGATATAAAGAAGACATAGGCTATGGATATAGATCGAGACGAGATACTGTTTAAAATTTAGAGTTGGGAGGTTTTGAGAGGATTAAGACGCATATTTCCGGTGTGATTTTTTCTTTAAGGCTTAAATGTTGAAGCTTTTATTATTATGGGTTGGATTTTCGACTGCTTTAAAGGATTAATATAATTTAGATCAGTTTATCAATTTAAAAAGGTGCAATTACCGTTTTAGAGCTCAAAAGTCTTAATTATCGTTATTTATATAGCGCCGACACTCTCAAGAAGCTACAAAAAATCATGTCATGCCTCAAATAAGGTCACTTTTAGACTAACTTGGTACTAGGAAAGTAAAGCAGTATTAAAGACAATATAGGCTAAGTGATTAGAAGTGTAAAGACGTTAAGATCCTTTGCTGGCAGTGTTTATCACACTTTTCAGGCAGTAGAGCAGTGAATTGACATGTTCGCCTACATATAGCTCAATACTCTTGGTACCGGGAGCTACTTTAGAATCAAAATTCGATGTCCGAGAGTAAGACATTTTCCCTTGATAGCACACTAGCTTACACAAATTAAATATCACATTATTAATTACTTTACGCGATCTTTTCGTCTATATTTGTACTTAAAAATTTAATTCACAGTAATCTTTATAAATTGAAACTTAAGCTCATATAAATGCACAACTTAAAACAAAGATAAGAACTAATATAGGAAAAATAATATAGACACTCATTCTTGGCGTGCATTGAGAAATAAGTAGAGAAAAATCCTCATCCTCATGCTCAATGCCATCTTTAGTTGGAACTTCCACTATAACTACTTCATCAGAAAACATTTGAACCTTAAAATTACAGTTCGTAGAGTTAATACAGCCTTTTGTTTCAGAAATGTTTGAATACAGGTAGCTAGGCTTAAAAATATCAAATACCGCATGGATATTGTTGTAGGCATCATCGTTATCCGAGTAGAATATGTAGTAATAATATCCATTTGTATTGACATCATGTTTACTGACTAAATGTGCACCTTGCTCTAGGTATTTGACGCTATTACAATTTTTTGATGGCGGGAAATATTTTGCGACTAAAATTTGCCCATCAAAGCATTCAAGTAAAGAGTTCTCAAAACTTGATATCGAGTCTGACTCATTTTTAGGATGGTAGTTTTGAGCATTTCCACCATGATTAATGCCTCTATCTAAAATTGTATCACGTTTGGCTCTATTGTTCTCAACGAACGATTGTTTTTGTGTACTGGAATCTGAAAATCTCTTCTGTTTCTTATTGTCTCGTTTGCTGTGGCTTTTAATTCCACTTTTGTTTGCCTTACTACTCTCTCCTGATTGTTTGACTTGATCATCTTTCTCATTGTTATTTATAGTCGTTTCTTCTTGTTCTTCTTTTAAATCATTTATTAAAGTGTCATTGAATTGTTCCTGTGTAAAGTCATCAAGCTCTTCAGCTGCGTTATCAAAAATCGACTCATTATCAAGGTGAACAGTTTCTTTCGGTGATTGATTTGGGTTTTCTTCTTTTGTCGTTATGTGCGGACCAATAATTTCAGCTGCTGTCTCAAACGTTACTTTTACTTGTGACTGTTCAGCATTGTAAGCGACTCCGAATTTATTTTTATTATGCTCTAATAATCCACATGTCCGCAAATTTCTTTCGCCTTTGACGACGAGTATCCTTGAACCTTCAAGAAGCGAACAAACTTTAAGTTCAACAGTAGCTCCATTCATCAAATAAAATCCCCAATATTCTAATGTGTCATCTGGAAGTATCATAGACTTTTTCAGTCTTATATGCTTCCTTGTTTTTGATTCAGATGGCATATGATGTAATTGAAAAGCATTAAATGAAGTGTTCATTTTTAGCACATGCTCTTGACAAAAGATTGATGAAATTCCTTGCCGTACTTCCAAGACATCGGATTCAGCGACGGAATAAATTGTATCTTTAAAAACTTCATGCTTAAGATACAGTGGAAGGATGATTAAAGTTGTCGGAACTATTGCCACTAAACAACAAAATGTCAAGACTCTTTTTACGCCTTGCATGTCATTCCTCTTTGGATTTGAGTATTTTTCTAGCGTATTCATTGATGTATAATGATACGTAGTTTTATAGTATATAGAAGCATTTGTTTTTGCCTCATTAGTCTCAAAAGATAACATTGTTTTGTTTAAAAATATATAATAAGTTTTGGCAATTAAAAACCGAACTTTACAGTACGACTACTAGTTAAAGACTGAACGATACAGTTGAGTGATTTAAAATTGTTGTAATCATTAAATAAATGTAGTGAGTATTAAGATAACAGCGTAAATCTCAAGTACTACAAAATGCATTGTTTTTTTTTGTGCTGATAAAAACGTCCAAATAGAAAGAAAATCAATTTTGCACAATCTTATCTCTCTTTTATTTCTCATAAAACAAACTATCATGAGATTAAATGAATAATTGTTTTTTTTTCACAAATTCTATGGATTTCTCCTGTGCACGATGATGTGCATGATATGGTCATGTTTTAGAAGTCTAAAGTCTCAGTTTGATTTGGAATTTTGTTTTTTTGGGTGTGTTTGAACTGATAAGGTTTTTCGGGTCATCTATGAATTAAGTAATGCTAAAATAGTCATCGAGAAGGGTTTGAACAATTTTACTCTACTATCCAAGAACTTCTAATGACCAAATTGACTTACTTGTCTCTTACCATTTAAAATTTCATTTTAATCACATCCTTATTAGGTTGGACCATTGATGGAAATTTCTAAACAAAATTATTTCTTATCAGGTTGTTTTCCCCTTGACGAAGATTTTTCTGTAAGCTAAATATAATCTGCTGATTACCAATTGTCTTTATCAGTCAAAAGAGCAAGCTTTAAGGCCAGAAAGTTTTGCTTGTTAATGCAGTATTTCTAAAACTAGGAAGATTTGCAGAAAAAAACCAAAACCCAAAATTAGCCAGACAAAGATTAAAGTCTACAAATTCAATTTTAAAGCTACGCAAGCTAACTTATCACAGTCTGAACATTTTAAAAATTCAAAGCCAAGCCTTCCTTTAAATAACAAAAAAAAATGTAAAAATATCACAATGAATTTACATATCAAGCAAACAAACCCATGTAAGCTCCACCATACGAATGATACACTTCAATTGTCCATAGAATAAAAGCACAAAAAGCTGCGGATTTGCTTACATTTCTTCTCAATTTTTTTTCGGCACACAATTTTTAAAGATTTTTTCTTTCGTAAAAGAAGAGAAGATAAATATAGGAAATATATAAAGGAGTATGTTGTGCTTCCAGCGATTCGTTAACAATCTCTTACTGTGTGAAAAAAAGAGAATCTTTTTGTTCATTGCTGTTTTATCGCTGTTATCATCTTCTCAACAATATTGTAAGCTGCTTTTTGCCCACACTTCTTGGGAGTTGTTTGGGTATTAGGTAACGTTTGTAAGGTAAAACTGTGTGAATTGAGTTCAAGGGGAAAACATCATGAAGAGAAATTAGTTGGAACTTAAACATCAGAACAGGTTGCTTTCCTTTCATTGAGCCCGAACCCTGCCTTTGATGCAGTACTATAGTTCCTACTGTAAACGGAGTCACAGAATTTCTAGCTCTTTGTATCCCAAGTTTAAAAACTCTCCTTTTTAAGGCATAACATAGTTCTCATACAACACCCTATGCCATCTATGTACACATCTAAAAATTTATGCTTTTCACATACACACAATTGTTTCCTTTCTTGCTGATTCCTTTGAGAATTGATACAAAGGCAAAGCACGCAAAAAAATTGTCTGTAAATTTTGATGAGATGAAAGGGGGGAAACAGAGTCATACATGGTTATAGATAATTCGTTACTTGAATCATTATATCTATGGTACGCCAACGAGTCCTTATTTTCGATATTGAATTTTTTTGGGACCTTATTTTCGAGCATAAGTTCAAATTTTTTTCACACGTTAAATTATTAATGTCTAATATCTCTAATTAATAGTTTAAATATTTGTTTTTCATCATCAAAATGTTAAACGAATCCACTCAAATGTAATGAATCATTACTGATTTACTAAACAATTAGTGCAAGTGAATTAATAACATTTTTATTTCCAATGTAAACAACAAAAAAAATTTATAATATTTTTGAAAAAAAAGCATTTTAAACTAATGTTTGCTGCATTTATCACCGATTAGACGATTAAATTAGTGTTAAAAGACATAGTAGAATGATTTAATTCTGTAATCATAAGTAAATTAAGTCAAAAATTGCGAAAAATTGAAATTTTCATAAAAAAAAGTTTTTCGAAATTGCGAAATTTTGTTCGAAAAACATTCGAAACGAGTTTGAATTTATTTCGAATCAACGTTGACAACGTCTCTTGGCACATCATAGCATTATATGACACAGTCTCACAGGCAATAAAGAACGTTTAGATTTTTCTGTATAAGCTGCGGCGCTTTTCTTATTTTGACTGAATGCGTGGATTAACATTTTCTGAGAATAATAGCTTAGATCTATTCTTGGGAAAGACGGAAGTCAAAATTTAATGTGGATTTGCTCTCAATTTTACGGCGACTTGTTTCAATATTGAACATAAAAATTACAGAAGTAAATTATTTTGACAAGCTGCTGGTGTCTCCATAGATTCTAAGTACTTTATAAAACCCACACTTGAAATCTACAAAACAAAGTTGATTGGAGACCGTTGTACTGCAGAATTCTTTATGGATACATTTATTTATTTACTAAAAATAATAAAACCTTGGAACTAACGCCTCCATTGAAGGCAAACGATATAAGGATCGTCTCGATGACGATAAAAATTGCTGTAATGAGTGGCAAATTTACCGACCAAAATGGACTTGTTTAGATGGAGTGCTTTACAGAAGTGGCGATTAAGTGCTTAATACTTAAAATACTTCAATTATCAAGTGCTAAGAAAAGGTTTAAGAATTTACGAACGCTTTAAATTATTGCTGGGTGCTAACATTAATCTTGTTCGATGCTGGTCATTAATTTGCTGACAGTTCTTAGAAGGAAGATGAACTTTTAAATGATTATTGCTGGAAACCAGAAATTTGTGGATCCCTTAAGTGCAACTAAGGAAGGAAAGCAGTAAATTTAAAGCCATCTAGCAGAGGCTATAGATTGCAATTGATATGTTTATTTATCAAAATAAGAACATGGCATACAAAAGTCGCAAAAATGTAGGACTGGATTAACTTAATTTAATCTGACTTTGAGCCAACCTTAGTCTGGCTTTCATTCACTAATTTGCAATTTTCTACGCTGTGGACGATTCTAGTAAGTTAGTTGAATGTATTTATTAATCTTGGCATTTATCTTTTCCTAGATGATGAGGATTCTAGTCGCAACTATGTAAGTTTAAAAACCCAGATGACAAAAAAGAAAACAATGTATTTTAGACAAGTCTAAGTGTCAAAATGCAGAAAAGTCTTACTTTATCAGTATAAAATTCTGTCTGACAGTCTATTCCACAAGTTTGTCAGAGCCAAACTTCTCAACTCGTCGTTATCCTCCTCTTAGCTAGTCGTATGATTGCCACAAGATCAGATTTTGTCAAATCATAGCTAAAACTCAGTCGACAACACTAAGTTTAATCTTAAAGCTTAAATATCACAAGAAATATCTACAAAAGAGTATCCAAAAAGTCATAACATGGTCACTCACCAAATATTCAAAAATCACATCCTTTAAAGACTTCAAAACAGTTTATCGAACTTCCATCTATATGCAAATGCGCTTTATTATTCCATTTTTATTGACTTGATACTTTTTTATGTCTTTATCATTTCCTTCCTTCTTCTTCTTTTTTATCGTAATGCTTAATGAAGTATACATGCATTTACATTTGTTCGATTTTTCACCTTCCTTTCCAAAGTGATTTAAAATTCAAATGCTTTCAATAAATGATTTTGAAGGTAACAGTGTGAGCATAAATAAATCTACAAATTGGATGTGGATGGAGGAAGCCACAAGAAATAAAATTTATCTTAACAATAAATTTATTTGATTAATTAAAATTTTAAATTAAGAATGGGGTGGAATTTGTTACTTTTGCTTTTAAAAAATAAAAAATATTCATGCATACAAAAGAATGGCAAATGTAAAAAAAATTAATGAAATAAAGCAATTATAAAAGTGCTATACAGAAAATGATAAATTTACACCCAAGAAAAAGTTTTTGCTGTGCTAATTGAATTTACTAGTAGCAACTTAGAAGTTATTTGTTTAGTCTATTTGTTAAAGAAACAGAATTTATTTTTTTTCATCTCCCTTCCTTTTGTTCTTCTTTTTCGATTCTTCCTATTCAGACATATGATCAGATGTGGGCAGTGAGACTTAATTAAAGAGATTTTCTCTTTTCTTCCTTAATGCCAAGTTAATTCCTTTTCATTTCGAATTCTAAATATGGAATTTTATTTAATAACATGATTCTTTTTGGATCCTAGCAACTGTAGATCTTGATATGTCATATGCTTTAACGGTTACTTAATAAGATGTAAGCTAATTCCAAAAATTAATTAATTACGATAAAATTGCTTCACAATGTTGGAACGTAGAGGAGTCATTAATCTGTACTTGGATTTACTGCAATTAAACCGATTTCTATGGAATCTGTATTAAAATTTTCATTTGAATTTTTGATTCAATTTTCAATGTTTAATGTTACATCAAAACTTTCTACTATTTTCCTACTAAAATTGTAGTCCATTTGCATACAAATTATAAAAACTGTCACTTACTCAAATTCCAATAAATAATCATTAAATTCTTTAAAAAAATGATATAGTTTTTAAGTCAACAGCAATATGAAGAGCATATCAGTAAACAAAACAAAATAAACTTCAAATGGTAACGACAGACTTCATATACTTCAACATCCTCAAGTGCTTCCTATAGCATTACAAGCTATCGAGTTTCAAAATGTCCACAATATTGAAAGAGCCTATCTTTTTTTTTTTTTTTTTTTTTTTTTAAATTAAACTTTTTATTTATTTACATTTAAATTTAAGTATGTACAAAGTTTCTATACATTTTGTTGCTTTTTGTTTTAAGGTTTCAGGCATTCAATTTGCCTTTTGTCTCTTAATTTTGATTTCATTTACGGATTTTACTTTCTTTTGTATTTCATTTGATTTATTCGGTGTTTTGAGATGCAAGACGACTGTTGAAGTTCGCTTGCAACTTTCCGACGTAGTCTTCGATGGAC